TCGCTTCCCGAGGTGATGACCTTCCTGGCGCACATGGAAACCACCGTGGCCGACCTTCGGGGGCACTTGCCAGCTGCGGCGGCGGCGGCGGCGGCCGAGGAGGATGCGGCTCGAGCACGGGCGGCCCTCGACCGAGCGGATCGCCAGCTCCGTGCCCTGGCCCGGCGACTAGACCAGCTTACCGCCGCCGAGTTGGCGGCCATGGACCTGGTGGAGGCCCTGCACCAGGAGTCTGACAGCCTGTTCAAGCGCCTGGCCAAGGCCGAGGCGGGGCTGGGCGCGGCGCGGGCCGAGCATGCCAGCGAGGTGGCCCTGCTCCGGGGCGTGTACACCGAGCAGGTGAACAGTGCGCAGGACTTGGCCACCGGGCGGGCCAAGCAGCTGGCCGCCCTGGAGGAGCGCATCGCCGAGCTGGAGCAGAGCTTCCGCCAATGCCAGGCGGAGCTCGGCCGTGAGGCGGCCTTGCGGGCCTCCAGCCAGGCGGAGCTCCAGGCCACGCGAGACGAGGCGGCCGGTCTCGCGGCGGCTGCCTGTGCGGCGGCGAACTCGCGGGCCGCCGCGGCCGAGGCAGCCCTCCAGGCACACCAGGCACAGGCGGATGCCATGCGTGCCAGTGGTGACCGCGCCCTGGCGGACCTCCGCCGGGAGCTGGCCGCGGAGCGCGAGCACCGTACCCGGCTCGAGGAGCGAGCCGCCGCCCTCGGGCGATCGGCGTCCGTTCCACACGCCGCCGGGGCGGGCGGATCCGCCGGGCCGCCTGCGGGGCCCACCGGCTCTGTGCCGGATCTGGCCGCGCGCTTTGCCACCTCCGAAGACCAGAACCGCAAGCTGCGCCTGTTGATCGTGTCCCTGCGCAAGGAAATGTCCCGGACCCAGGCGGAGCTTCATCGGCTGCAGGGCGCCGGGGCGCCGGATGGCCCGGCCGACCGGCAGCTCAAGCGCCCGCTGGGTACCGACCACCTGGAGGCCGCCGGCGTCGATCGGCCAAGCCTCCCGCCCGCCCTGCGCCGGGATGCCTCCCTGCCGGCCTCCGATCCCGGGGGCGCTCCTCCCTGAGTCGCACCATCCCCCCCCCCCCCCTTCCCGGAGAATATACCTTGTCCTTGCGCCCCTCTCTTCGTCGCCGGGTTTTGTTGCGTGGCGCTCCCCCCGGCCCTTCCGCTGTCCCGGGTGTAGGGGGGGGGGGGGGGGGGAGCGTTTGCGCGCGGTCAAAGTTTGTTTGTTTTTTTCTCCGCCCTCCGCACGATGGCCGGCCCTTTTTCCCCGGGCTCTGTGCCGCGGCATCTTGTGCCTTGCTCGTGCGGACCTCCTCGACGGGTGTGCCCCCCGGCAGGTCGCGGCCGATCGTGGCCGAGGCCGGCGGCCACGGCCCGTGGGCACTAAGGTCCCAACGGAATTGCGTTTCACATGCCTGAGTAAGTGATGGTTGAAGCCGGGGGGGGGGGCGTCTGCCAGGAAGCAGCTCGACGCCGTCCGGGTTCCGGCCGCCGGGAGGGGGGCGAGTCGGCGCGCGCGCGCGGGGCCAGGACCGCTCCCTCGTCCTAGACCGGCGAACCTGCCCGGGAGGAGGGCCCCGGATCGCCTGCCCCCGAGTTGGCCCGCAGCTGCCCGCTGAGCGGGGCCTATTTGGGCCGGCACCGCGCGCGCCCTGGGCCGGCTCGAGGCCCGACCACCGCGAGAAAGTGCTTTTGCCCCGTCTTGCTCCTCCCTCCTCCTTGCCAGTCACAATGAAGATATACACCCGCCGCGGCGATTCTGGTATGTGCCCGAATTCCTGCCTCTCTCTCTCTCTCTCCCCTCCCCCCCCCCCCCCCCCCCCCCTTGTCCAATAGAATGGTCTCCGAGGCTTCTGGCTGCCGCTGCTGCCGGCCTGTGCTGCCGGCCTGTTTGTTTTTGTTTGCTGCCCGCCCCTCCCGGTCCCTCTACTCCGTGTGCTGCCACACGGGCCCACATGCATCGGTGATTGTGTGCCCACGCGTGCCAGGATATGGGGGGCATCCACTGGGAGTCTATCGGCGTACATGCGCACATGCACACACATGCACACACATACATGTGTGTGCATGTGTGCACCTGTCAGAGCCCCATCTGACGGAGATGCGTACAAAGGTGTGTGTTGAAGTGCTGCCGGAGGTCGGCCGCGAACGACACCGCGCATGCCTTGACCGACTCCTCATCCGAGCTGCTGGCGCCTGCTTGGCCCAGCGAAGCGGCCATCAGGTCCGGCTGGAACCGGCTCAGGTGCATGGCGGTTCTGGCCAGGAGAGCGCCCAACTGCCTCTGCGAGTGGCGAACGCGCGGCTCGTTGGCCGGCGGGCCAGACCAGGCATGGCGGGCAGCAGTGTCCCGGCTGGCGGCATTGGCGGCCGTCATTGCTGGCTGTTCCAAGCGATTTCCCCGAAGGAGTCGCCTCAGATCCGCCGGCCGAAGGAGTTGCCGCATGCCGGCCGCCGGGGTGAGGAAGACCAAATGCACAAACGCCTCGAAGCCGAGCCTGTCGAGAGGGGATGGGCGCATGCGCATGCGCATGTGTGTGTGTGTGTGAGATGGGCTTGAGCTTCCCCCCC